AGCAGTACTCAAAGTTAGGATGAATGAATCCCTTATATACTTGGAGAAACTGCTCAGGAGTGAAGTAGCTACGGCATCTGTACATGCACTTGCATAACAAAACTTCATTCATAACATTGTTGGCACACATAACAATAGCAAGTTAAGAGTGAGGCATGAGAAACTTTGGCTGTTCTCGACCCAGTTATGAAATATGAATACCCTGTATTGATAAACATCACGTGATGTTGGACTAAAAGTATTGTGACACTACTACAGAATGATTTCACTCATTGATGTTCCACCCTGATAGTGACCCACTATCAGAGCTCTGTTGGCTATCACCTCCGGGCGATTGGCTCAAGTAGTAGGTGGACATAGCCCACGTCCTCCAACCAGAATATCCATATCTGTTGGAAATTAGCTCCAAGTTACCAAACACCATGATTAGGACGTCATAGATATTTATCATTCAAGTAGAAAATAAAAAATAATCACATACGTAACTAGTTGTAATATTGGTACCCTCTGTGCCATGACTCTCATAATCCAAGACATTATGAAGTGAAATTTAAAATCTAAAGGCTGCAGTAGACAGGAAGCAAGGCAGGTGACCAAGAAATAGTCACTAATGATGACACACGGCCAGGCATCTACTCTGAGGGTCGAGGTCTTCGGCAAAGTCGCTGCTCCGAACCAGACAAAAATTTTTTGGGTGATACCATGATTAATGTGAATTGCAACATTCCAAGCCAAAATACTCCATTAAATATTGTAAACATGACTATATGAATTCCTAGTATGTGTGAAACCATAATATTCCCAGAGTTATGGTAATATTTATACATGTATAGGCCTCACCTTGTTGACTGACCGTTCACTCCCTCTTCACGAAATTCGTCCGCCGGCCACCCTTTATATATATGCTGCCCTGATGATTCATGTGTAATACGAGGACTCTCATCTAGTGGTTCCAAGACAGTGTTTTGGGATTGGGCAAAGCTTTTCATGCTCCAATCTTAACATGTTATTGTTATGTGTGGCAACAATGTTATGAATGCATTTGTTATGCAAGTTCATGCCATGTCAAAGTTCGTAATAAGTTCTTTCCTGTGCTCTTGTGCTATGAGTCTCGTAGTGTTGTGGCGGTGGAATGTGAACCTCACCATCGTAGTGCCTCGTTACCACATTGCTGAACTAGTCTGCGTCCGATCACCCAGCCTTACCTCAACCCTGGCCTCGGCGAACACCCAGCCAGGGGGTGTCGAAACTTTGGATTGTGACTGTACGAGATACAGTACTTCAAGAGTAGCTGGTTATTTTTCAGTACAGTGTTTATACATGGTAATATAGACATTAGTTTTTTGTAATACAGTAGATACTTCACAACTTAATGGCTGAATATCCATCATACAGAACTTAGATGATAGGCACTACACACAAAGGTCTAAATATTAGTACAATATTTGGACATTAAAGGAAGGAGGCAGAGGTAACATGTATTGAACTGTACTTCGAATTTATTGTGTGGTGTACTCTACCAGGTTTTGTAAGAGTGGATGCTTTGATTTTCAGAATTTTTTCACATTGCCTTATGTGAAGATTTTGTCCTCTGAACTTGAAAGCTTATATAGTACAGTACAGTACAGTACAGTAAATGTCAATTGTGATACAGTCACCTCTGCTCACTCTGTTTCCACTCTTCATACAGTTTATTAGTGTCAGTACTGCAGTAGTACAAATTTGACTCGTTTAATATGTTATTGAATGTGAATACTGTACATAATACTTATACTGTATGACATTTTGGGGGGTTATGTGAATTTGTTTATAAACCTTATTCACATTCTTGTGAGTATACAATACACCTGTACAGTCGTCATTTAATGGTGTTTTACTACTTGTGTATCTTATACAGGTACAGTACTGTAATTATCCTTTTACTAGTTACACTGTATGTAAACTCTAATGCAACTTATTCCTTATAGTGTTATCTAGTGTGTGTCATTATCTGTTCTCTTCTCCCACTGTTGGATGGGGGATCAAGTAGTTCACAGACCACAACGAATGAAGGGAAATATTCATTTGCTTGTGGTGTTAAACATTTGTTTTTTATCTTTATTTTTTTTAACTTTTTGATATTGTAAACTGATCAAGCTCTCCCTTCAGTTCAAATTGTTTAAATGAATTAGTGACCGTTTTTCATCCTTATTGATTACTATTGCTCACATTTTCAGTAAGAATACAATTACAGCACATTCATAGTACAGTTCAGCTTAGAAATGGTCTGCAGTGTATTGTGATTTAAAGATATTTATTAGTTTTAGATTAATCTTAGTATCTCTCCATTTGACCTTATTATAACTACCCTAACTGCTACTGTACCTCACATAAGCCCTTCTGGCATTTAGAATTGTCTGGATTCTTCCCAGTATTAAACACTGGCCATCATTATAAGTTATACAGTAGTGTCTGATCCACTGGAAGCATTATTCATTTACAGTATTGTACAGTATATATTCTGTGCATAAAATGACTAGTGACAGTTTAAGCTGCAAATTGGTCACTAATATGCTCATTAACTTGACAACATTGGGTAAATCAATGTGTCTCGTTAGGTTATAGAGATGAGACTGTATGTAGTAAAAGAAGTACTGGAGCCTGTCTGCTTTGGTATCAATTAATGTTGAAAAACAGATGAAGATCTAGACACAGGCACAATGTCTTCTTCCATACAACATAACTAATCTTCATTTTTATCTCCCAACCCCTTGAGTACAGGAACATCACAATCTTTAATAAGAAATGCAAATATGTAAATGAGGTTTGCATAAGACTGAAAATTACTTAAACTTTACATTATTGTACTGTGCTGTCAAGAATGATTGATTTTATGGATGTTCAATAATGCCGTTGCCTTGATTTATAAGTCATTCTTTTTTTACAGGAGTATTACTTTATTTCATAAACTAAATACTGTACAGTGATATGATTTGTATTGTCCAGAAATATCTTCTTTGTTTAATAGGTTATCAGTCTTTTCCATCGTCCATGCTGTTTATATACAGTACTTGTACAGTAGTGTATATACTACTACTGTACTATATACAGTATAGTATAGCTACACATAGTACAGTATATACAGTACAAACACACACACAGTACAGTATATATAAAATGTTTTATGGTATATATTGCTTGATGAAGGTTTAAAGGCATGATTTATATACAGTACAGTACAATACGTACAGTACATGCATAAATTCCAAACTCATTTACATACTGGTGCATCTTGACTCAATGAAAACATTGTTATATGACTAAATATTTTAGTTTATCTGTACTGTACAGTACACATGTCAGCTATGTCAGTGTAGTATTGTACAGTATATACTTTACTGAGCCTTTCCAGCATTGGTCTAATATACCAGCATGGGATATATTATAACAGTACAGTACAGTAAATAATTTTCTCTGAATAAGAATGTTATTTGTATCACTTACTGTTGCAGTGTTGCTCTTCAGACAGTGTAAGTAATCTCTAACTGTACAGTACAGTTCATTAAGTATTGTATAATGTAGCTCCATGCTTTGTAGTCTGAACTTGATATCTAGAGAGTGAAGTAAACTTAAGTGCAATAGGAGGAGAACTGTGTACAGTACAGTACAGTATTGGTAACTTATACATAGCATAATGAAAAACGTTTCTTGTACTGTAGTAGTAAAAAATATGAGCAGTTACAGTGTAAAATAATATGAGATATTGTAATGAATCAAGTACATTACTGTACAGTACAGTACAGTACAGTACATACTTATAAACAGGTTGTACCATTAGACAGCAGTAATATTTTAGTACAAATCATAGATAACTGTCCTGAGTTTTCTTTTAAAATTATATAAGGATGTAAGTACTGTGAATAGTAAATGATTGTAAAGTTTTAGTATACAGTATAGTCTGGGTTTACACGGCTAATTTAACCCATGGAGGTCCGCGTATAACGTTAAACACGTAAATAAAATAACAGAACATATGGGATTAATTGAAATAGAGACTGGGCTGACCGCCAGACTACCCTTTTTCCGACACTACGTACGTTGTAGTAAAAATAACATCTTAATTTTATGATCGTATGCACATACAATTAATATTTAAGAGAAATATCAATAATATTAGGTTTTTTAACACTTATGTTAGTAGAAGAGATAGCTGGGGATGGGGGGTTGGTTCCGAGGCAGAGGGCAGATTATTGGCCCTCACCTGTACCACTTGTATCACCTGTATCACTATCCACCACAGAGGCTAGCAGGGCCTCCTTGTCAAACCCCTCAAAGTCCATATCCTCACTATCACTGGCTTGTGCTGGCTGTGGTGGGTGGCGGGTGAAGAACTCGGTAATGTTTTGTTGACTGGGCAAGCAAGGTTAAATAGACCAATCACAGCGCACGGCGGAGGGGGTGCGTAGATGGTAAGGATACGTGGCCCAATCACAGTCCGCGACGTCATCGGCACGAGTCTGACGTCAGCGGTGACGTCAGCGATCAGCAGCTTGCCTGCCGCTTGCCGCGTAAATTAAGGAATGTACCGCGTAACTAATAATTGGCACGTCTGGACAGGTGCCGCGTAAATGGCCAAACGCGAATAAAATATCCGCGTAAACCCAGACTATAAGGCAGTCTAGCTGTTGTCTTTTACTGAATTTAATTTTTATGTATTGGATACTTCTTCTTACACTGTTTATATTTTATTTCTGTGCTATCCACAGCTTGTGTTCTTTCACAAGTCTTACATTCATTGACATTTGAAGATGACAAAATCAACTTAAGATAGGACATCATAATTTGGTGATGAGTGTGACATTGTACAGTCAGAAACACCAATCTAGGGTCAGGGAAAGGGGGAGATGGAGAGCTTGAGACTCGTTCCAAATCCCGGCTCTTCACTGGCCTGATTTCCACGCTTACCCTGTCCCTAGATTAGTGTCTTTGACTCTACATTATGTGTGAACTGTATGCTGCAGGTGTGTTTGTGGCCAGCTGTGGCAGTGTCACCGTGATGGGTCACCGGCAACTCTCCGTCATGGGGAGGACATTCACTGGAGTCCCTCCAGACATACCCAGCTTCTCCCAACAGATGCATATGGCACTCTTGAGTTTCAGGGTGGTGCACATCCCACCAAGGCACAGGTAAGAAAGGACTATGTTTTGTAAACATTCTCTGATACAGGTACTGTATATCAAGGGCAAAGTCATACTATTCACATTTGTAATTAGTAAGTGATGTAGTATGTGCACATATGTGTGCTATTTAAAACTCATATCATTGTATCATAGCTGGATGATCATCATACTCGATTCCGAGTGACAGCAAAGTAGTAGTAGTAGCTATTTAAAATAGTGACATTACAAAAGCAGGTACAGTACAGCACAGTAATGATCCAAGATCCATCTCAAAGTTATCCAGTACAGCTGTATGTACCAAGCAGGAGTCAAGATAATCATTATTCTGTTTGTGATGATCAAAGTGAACTTATGTGAAAGGTGGGGTAAGGGAGAATAGGATCATTGATATTCATTAAATTCCCCAAAATGACTTACCCGGTAATCCCGTTGTGGACAGTGTTATCGCCGCTAGTTTCAGCTACACAGTGCCTTCAGCACCTCCACTCAGCACTGAGTGCCTCAAAGCACCTCAACCGATGTGTCTATGAGTGTCACCTTACCCAAACAAACATAAATTTCTCAGCCTACGACCACGTACGCCGCGACCTCACCTTGTAGACTGTAGAGGTGTTGTGACTCCCAGATATTTATAAATGTCGCAGCCATAGAACAAGCGTTTCAGAGTGTTACCGCCAGCGGGGAACCGCATGGAGTGTTACTAAATTGTTAGAAATACTGTAGTTTAGTTTTGAGAGTATTGAAGATAAAGGAGAGGAAAGAGCTGAGGTGATGTTTACAGCGGAGTGGTCCTGGTTTCTGCTGAATAGGCAGTTCTGCAGGTGGTGTGACTGTCTGGCCTCCCTGATGCAGATCACTCTCTACAGCCATACTGTGAGCATCACTCCTCTGCTGGCAGTATTGAACATACCATCTTGCAATCCTGTCCCTGAGTTTGTCCTAAGACAATTTACACAGCAGTACTGTTGTCTCTTGGAACACCATACTGATTTACATCGACCCACACTTGCAAGTACAGCCTACATGATGACGTAACCCTCAGTACTGAAATATTGTGGACTAATTATGCCTACTTGTTTTCTGCCTTATCTGGAGCAATAAGACAAAGAGGAATGAAGTGCAACTAAGATTAATAGAGTTATGAACTTTGTATTATGTCATTATGCTTAATGATCTTATGTAGTTAAGATAAAATTGAGTGAGACTAACAAATTATAGATCAGATGGATCACCATGTAGTACGAATGAACGCCTTGTTTTCTGCAGGTTTTTGACCATATCAATAAATACTGAGTGCGGCAAAAGGTGGGTTTCAATCATTCCTTAACTAAGGCGGTTACAGTCAAAACAAGTGTGGGTCGATGTAAATCAGTGACACTCATAGACACATCGGTTGAGGTGCTTTGAGGCACTCAGTGCTGAGTGGAGGTGCTGAAGGCACTGTGTAGCTGAAGCTAGCGGCGATAACAGACAGCAATTGCAACTTCTGGTCATAACCATTGGCTGGGTCAATATCAAGTACTACATACTGTGTTTAAAGAAAACTTTGTAAAAACATTGAGTCTTATCATTTTAAATTCCAAGAAGGAGAAGTTATGTAACTTACTAATGTTATAGGTGAGATATGAAGTGTTGAAGTTGCACTTCAAAAATAATATTAAAGATACTGTACAGGTATCCCTCATTATCTGAATGGGTTAGGTGCCTTGAAAACCATTCACATAGCAAATTTTCATATAGCAAATAACAACAAATGGGAAAAACAGTTACTTCCCAACAACAAGAAAATTACAATATTATACCTTAAAAAATAAATAAGTTCACAAACAAAAAACTTACTTAACTGCTCTAATTATTACATAATTACTATAATTTAGGACCTAACTACTGTAGTTTAGGACCTGACTACTGTACAGTAATTGTTAAACTTATTAAATACAGTGGTCCCTCGGTTAACGAGCGCCTCGGTTAACGAGTTACCTTCCATAAGATTCTTAACTTCGGTTAATGAGCAATCCCTCGATTAACGAGTTTCTTACGAGCCGACCTCAACAAGTTTTGGCTTGCACTTGGCGGTCAACCAGCTGTAGTATTAGTCTTCCAATACAGTAATCGGTTCTAGGGCTTAAATTCCTTACTATTTTAGGAAAGTATCAAGAAGTTTATACTATTCAATAATTTTAAAAGTTTAATATTAAATTTTTTAGTAATTTTAACAATCATTGAACATAATTGAAGGTAATGAAACTAGTTTTATGTGCGCCATCCAGCCTGGCAACACACCAAACAGGAGTTAGTCTCTCTCTATCTTTTCAGTGGAGGTAACATCTTGCTTGAGACTCTCTTCAACTAAACGCTTTTTTTCTGTGTTTCTAAGCAAATTATTGGTCATTTTGAAATTTATTTTACATATTGACAATATATAGCGCAGTGCAGTGTTATTTTAAAGAAAATATTCTTTATTTACAGCAAGTTTAGACTTAAAATATCACGTGTTGAGATTGTTTGAATCCAGCATGGGGCCTAAGAGATCAAGAAAAGCGATTTCAATCCAAACCAAGCAGGAAATTATAAAAAAAACATGAAGAAGGCATTAGGACAAATGCGCTATGCAAAGAATATGGCATGTCGACATCAACTGTGTCGACAATTCTTGCACAGAAAGACAAATTTAAAGAAGTGAAAGTGAGAGACAAATCTACCAGTGTTTAAAAGTAGATCCCTAATTGCAGAAACAGAGAGGTTACTTCTCATCTGGATTAGGGAAAAACAGATGAAAGGTGATTCAGTTTCTACTGAATTTATTTGTGAAAGAGCCAGGGAGATTAACAAACATTTAAAGACAGATCAACCTAGTTCTTCAGGCACAGAAGTTGAAGGTTTTAGGGCCAGCAAAGGCTGGTTCGAAAAATTTAAGAAAAGAAGTGAAATTTTTAGTGTTGTTAGGCATGGTGAGGCAGCTAGTGCTGATAAGGAAGGGGCACCAAAGTTTTTAGTGGAGTTTAAAAAACTGATGGAAGAAGAAAATTATCTTCCACAGCAAGTGTTCAATGTGGACGAAACTGGGCTGTTTTGGAAAAAGATACCCAAAAGAACATTCATCACCCGAGATGAAGCCTCCTTACCTGGGCATAAACCCATGAAAGACCGTCTCACTCCATTGCTTGGTGCCAATGCTTCAGGAGATTTCCGACTGAAGCCTATGCTTGTCTACCACTCTGATAACCCCAGGGTGTTCAAACAACAAAAAGTGGTCAGAGGAAAGCTTGGAGTTTATTGGAAGTCCAACCGTAAGGCATGGGTGACAAGACAGCTCTTTAATGAATGGGCTGTTGAGGTGTTTTGCCCTTCTGTGAAGAGCTACCTAACCACCAATAAACTCCCTTTAAAGGCTCTTCTCCTCATCGATAATGCCCCTGGGCATGACCCTGAACTTGCCAGAACTTTGGAGTCTCAATTTGACTTTGTGAAAGTGTTGTTTTTGCCTCCCAATACTACATCAATCATACAGCCAATGGACCAGAATGTGATCAGCAACTTCAAGAAGTTGTACATGAAGAAAATGTTTAGGTGTCATCAGGCAACTTCCAATGATCCTGAACTAACACTGAAACAGTTCTGGAAGACACAATTCAACATCCTGGAGGCTGTAAAATTGATTGTGTAATCATGGCAAGAAGTCTCCACTAGATCCCTCAATTCTTCATGGAAAGCACTGTGGCCACCAGTAGTCCATGATTTTGAGGGATTTCAGGATGACACAGAGTTGGACCAGGAGATTGTGTCCATTGGTCAGTCATTGGGCCTTGAAGTGGAGGAGGATGATGTCGAAGAGCTTGTGATGTCTCATGAGGAGGAACTTCCTCCTGAAGACTTGTAGCAACTGGATGAGATGTTAGAGGCTGACAATGGTGAGGAGGAAAAGGAAAGTGATGACCATATGTTAACTTCAGAGTTGAAAGATGTTATTTACTACTGGGAGAAGTTCAGGAAACTGGCTTCAAGGCACCCAGATGTGGAAAAATCTGAAATAACTTTGTGTCATGTTGAGGACAAAATGGTCTCCTTCTTTAAACATAAGTTAATGGTGAGGAGGAGAGATGCCCCACAGACCACAATTGAAACTTTCTTCAGTAAAAGGCAGAGGGAACAAGATGCTAGCCCTCAGCCTTCCACTTCAAGAAGGAGAGAGGATGTTCATGGTGGAGAATCTGTTAGTCCAGAGGTTCCCGACATTTTCGTGGAAGGTGACTCACCTTCCAAGAAGCAGTAAAATGCTTCTCCTCCACCTCCACTTCCTTCTCTTCTCCCTTCTCCTCCTGCACCTCCTACTTCAAATTCACATCATCATCATCATCATCATCCAGGAGCCTTCTACATACACACCTCAAAGTAAGTGAACTTTTCTACCTTTTTTGTTGAATTTAGTCAATTTTCGGTGAGCTGGAACAAATTACCCAAAAACCCATTGAAACAATGGTTTCGGTTAACGAGTTTTTCGGTTAACGAGCAACCTCCTGGAATGGATTGTGCTCGTTAACCGAGGGACCACTGTACTCGATATAGCTGATACATAACTTATCAGAGGGCAGTCCGGGCTCACCTCGGAGTGATTTGAATTTTTGATCAGACCATCTTTAGGATAAGTGAGGATCACTTTCAGTTAGTAAAAAAGAGATCTGTATAAGATTTAGATTTTAGTTTAAACCAAATTTCGGGCAGTGAACATTCGGATAATGAGGAATACCTGTACAGGTTACAGTACTATATGATTCAAGCAGATACACATTAACTAGATTCACAAATTGAATCTTGAGGAAAGTCACCATAATTCACTGATATCCCTTTCACTATGCATGGGAGGGTCGTCCTCATCTCCTGAATAAAAATGAATAGAGTCAGTTTCCATCCTTGTTGGACATCACATGAGTGGAAGATATATACAGTACTACTGAAGTTGTAACAAAAAGACTCGGTAGGGAGGGAGGGAGGGGAGAGTGCAACGTCATATCAGGGTGGCAGTGAAAAGTCTCTTCAATCATTCAACTGTTATGCCATTTCTGTTGTTTTTTTGGTGTACGTATTTGGCTATTTACTGTGCATTCTTAGTGTGAGGTGTAAGGTTTATTTGCTTCAGAATTAAAAAAAAACAAAAACAAATTATAGTGTGTAAAGAGTGACTTTTAACAATAATCTCCCTCCCGACCAAATTATTTTTTCCACAACTGTACGTCTTGACTCAGCCATTGTTCAATCAGTACTGATGAACATGTGTCTGAAATGCATACATTGCCTCTGTGAAGCTTCTGGCAACTGCAGATCTACAAGAAATACATTACAACAGTTGTGGGATACATCCAGAACTGTGATGATCTGGCCAGTCGTGGATGATCTGTCCAGTATGAGATAATCTAGCTAGTAGGGGACGATTGGCCAGTAGGGGATAATCTGGCCAGTAGGGGATGAAGTCTTTTAAACCCTGGGCAGATGGTATTTAAATGCTAGAAAGTGGCTGTTATGTGCCCCAGTGCCCTTGGGTGCAGTGACATGAAAGTTCACTGTTTCATTCTCTTTACAGGAGTCACAAACTTGAAATGTTAACAATTGGAAGTTGAGTCGATCAAAATTATAGTTTAAATTTATATCTTGGGATGGTTCAGATTATCACCCTAAGAATGGCTATAGTGTGGAGGACCATAATTTTGACTTGTGTGGCACATCCAGTGTAACTAATTGTATACCATTTTGCACCATCTTAACTAAAAATATTTATTCTGTACAGTACCTTTTTGTAAACATTAAAGAGGGCAGAGTGAGTGATCATGGTAACTTCTCATTATAGACATAAGCAGCTGATATTGATAACCTTCTTGCCCCCCCCATAACATACTTGTACAGTATTTTTCTTGTAAAATAGAGAACTGACAGTTGGAATAAATGTGTAGGTGGATATGAAGTAGGAATGACAGATGCATATGAACAGCTGTTGGTATAGAAGTTAATTGAAAACATTAAAGCAAATGAGTTTGTCTTTATAATGAGACCTGTTTATTTTTTTAGTTGGTTATTTTATTCATATCATTTCCACCACCTACTGTATCAACTTAAGAGCCATTAGGGCAGTAAGTCTGTTCTTTGTTATGACGTTCATTACAATGTACCGGTAATTTATGTTTGATTTAACAGTTTTCTGCTAGTATCTCTTGCTTTCTCATGTGAAGAAATGTACACCTAAAGTAGACATAAATTACTAATAGATGAAGACAATACAGAAGTACACAGTCCTTGTTAATATTGTATTTTATTTTATGTGCAGTATATACTGTACTGTACATCCATTGATTTCTCAAATGTATTCTCAAGATTTTTTGGTACATTCATCATATTATTTAGAGGAATATGCAGATTGCAATGTGTGAGATTGTGAGATGGAGTATTATCGTACAATATGTTTTCCCATGTGTGGAGGCAGGAGTTTGTCTGTGGCAGCTCCGGGTTACCAGTGACTGTCTGACGCTGCAAGAGTAAAGTCTCCAAAGAACCTGGTCTATCATTCAAACCTGTCACACAATGTTTTTATTTACCTTGGTTTTCATTTCAGTATGTTAGATTGGCTCACGACACAAGACCAGAGCACATCCTGCAGCTTCTGACGGGAGAGTGGGGTCTGGACCTTCCAAAGCTACTCATTACTGTACAAGGTGGCAAAACAAATTTTGATCTCCAGCCTAAACTCAAAAAAGTGATCAGGAAAGGCTTATTGAAGGCTGCCAAAACAACGGGTGCTTGGGTCTTCACTGCCGGAACGAATACAGGTGTGCTAGTTTACCTCATCTTCGACGTATTGCACTCGTCATTTAATTCTTGTTAATGTAACCTTGCCTCACCCAACCGTTGAGATTAGCGCCGCCCAGAGCTATAGTCATAATCAGTGTTTGGATAATATGCAATGTGATCTGTGACTTTCTAGGAGTTATGCAGTATAACAGTACTGTACTGTATATGCTTTCTCAGAGGTAAAAATGAGTTGGGCTGTTGTTAAAAAATATAAATACAATTATTGGAATCAGACATATTGCCCTATAACTAGAAATGGGGTTTGTGGATTAGTGTGTAGATTTTTGTTAACCACTAAAAATGACATTTTACACACAATTCAAATGTTTTATCTTATACAGTACTCAGGATTTACTTTAAGCTCGATGAACATACCGTGTACAGGGGGCTCTCGATATACGAGCATTCTTTATAGGAGAATTTGACGATATCCCTTTTGGAATTTGCACCTTATATTCGCTACAGTACGAGCATTATTGTTCGATGATATGAGAAGCGAGTACGGTGACCACTGGGATTAGTTGTACTAAAGACATTTTCCTGTGAAAAGTCCATAAATTTGATCAACATATTACTGTACAGTACTCACTATGTACTACACTAGGACTAAAAAAAATTATCTTTTGTGCAAACTATGTGATGTTTATACTCAAATTAATCACGATCTTACAAGGATTTCAGCATTGCAATTTATATTCTGCTAAGTCTAGTCAGCAACATTTTATAAGATACAAACTTTAAGCATAAAACGAACTTCACCTTGGCTGGGAGGATGGGGGAGGGGGAGGTGTTGATAGCCAGGCGGCGAAGGTTACCTAGTGCGTATTTGTCAGTCTTATAGAGGAAGTTAAAGTTTATTGCTTATAAAAATCACTGAATTGACTTAGCAGAATATGACTTACATTGCTGTAATTCTTGTAAGATAATGATTAATTTGAGTACAAACATTCCATAGTTTGCACTAGACATAAAATTTTTAGTAATTAACTTAACACATTTGAGTACAGTACAGGTTTGGTCTTAGGACAATTATTTCCTTTACTTTTTTCACAATATTTATTTAAGATGATGTGTGCAAGTTAATGAGTAAAAATAAATGAAGAACGTTACGTACAGTCGACCCTCGTTAATTCGGACCCCTTTAATACGGATTTTGGATAAATCGGACAAAATCTGAACTGTCCATATCAAATTTCTGGTTCTGGGATTGTCCCAGTTGCAATTGGGGTTGCAATTTCAAATTCTGTGTCATTACTAAGGAATAAAGAAGTCACTGGTGTACTGCACTCTTAAGATTAAGAGAAAACGGACGACTCAGGCATCCTGAAGTGAGAGAAAACGGACTTCTTTGACGGGGCACTCAAATAAAGAGAGACATAGCTACATGTTTTGTGGACTACCCACTTTACAGTATCCTTTTCATCACTTTGTAATAAACCTCGTCATGCCTATGTGTTTCTGATAATTACCATAACATTATATATTTATATACAGGTATTTAGTGGTTGTACAAACACAAGGCCTCACACATGCCATTCAGACTGACAGACTTGACAAGTTTTACCAACCATAAAGTCAGTTGAAGCTTTGAACATCACTCACAATGGATCTTGAATATTCCAACTGTAATCAGACATACCAAAGTTGCCTACAACAATTGCAACCCCAGTTGCAATTTCAAATTCTGTGTCATTACTAAGAAATAAAGAAGTCACTGGTGTACTGCACTCTAAGATTAAGAGAAAACGGATGACTCAGGCATCCTGAAGTGAGAGAAAACGGACTCCTATGACGGGGCACTCAAATAAACATACACATACAGTCGGCCCTTAACATACGTGGGGGTTAGGTAACAGAGATACCCATGAATGTTAAAAATCCGTGTACTTTTGCTGCCCCCCCCCCAAAAAAAAACCCCTGGCCCCCCATGTCCTTATTTACCGTATATACCTGTGTGTAGTTTGAGTTTTTAAGACCAAATTATTTTGCAAAAAATTGGGGGTCGACCTCTAAAAGGGTAATAGTTTCGTTAGGTTGAAAAATATTTACCAGTAACTACCAGTAAACAATGGAAACGACGCACCAACGCACCACCAGCTGTGAGTGTCGGTACAGTCGCCAGGGCAGTCTCTTGCGTCATCATAGCTAGCCCTAAGTAGCCAAATCCATGGTATGGTATACACAGGACGATGTAAAACAAAGTATTCATTTGTTAAAGTTTATTTATAGATACTGTACATAAATTTTTGTTCATTACATTTGAAACATCAATCTTTGTTAATTAAATTTGATACAAAAGAAAACTACGATACCGTATTTTCATTAAAATATTACATCACAAGCATATTTTACCTTAACTGTGACTGAATGAATATATTCTCAGAAATAAATGTGGAAATGTAATATTTTGGCTGAAATGACGTACATATTACTGTACAGTGGAAAGTGGGATAAAATTATGAAAACATTGACTTTCGCTTTCTTTCATTGTTCAAAAGAGTCTACCGTAATCGCTTTTCGAATGGTTTTCAGTTAAAAAACTGTTGTACTGTACTCATACTGTATTACAATAATTTTCTATCCTATCATTAGCCTTATAATCCCACAACTGAAAGCGAGTCATTGCTTTCGTCACTTTCCACTGTAATACGTACATCATTTCAGCAAAAATACTACATTTCCATGTTCTCAGAAATAAATGGTAGTTTTGTTGAAACGTAATGTACAGTAATTAATATTAAAATGCAAAAATAGCTATAAAAACAATTAATACACCCTTAATGTACTGGCTGGCATCTCCACTCGTCCCTGCTCCCGCGTCCAAGGTCACCACTCCTCCCAACTCGCTCCCTCCTACGCCTCCTCCACCTCCACCGTCACTACTGCCGACAACAAACACAAATGTTTTGTGAATAACTGCACCTCCACTTCCTATGTACAGTACTGAACTGTACTGTGCTGTACATTTTTACAAACAATAAACATGGCAAGAAAAGCTAATAAGAAAAAAGAGATAAAAACTTCACTTTACTGTACAGTTCCTATCCTCGGCGAGAGGACGGGGGTCATCGTCACTCAATTCCATAACGGGTGGTGAAGTGGGGGCAACGGTGGATTCAGCTGCTTCCTCACTGCCGCCAGTGATTGGTGTTAAATCTCTCCTTCGGTGATCAAAGAACATGGTGATGGGGAGTTGTCGTCTCTTTCTTTCATTTCTTCCATGATGTTTTTGTATGGAGCGAAAACGTCATCCATCCTTCGCATGAATTTCAGGGCATGCACCGTGGAGGGGTCCATACTATAGGCCAGGTTTTTCAGTGCCTCAATATTCCTGGTCATCTCCCCCAACTTCTCCAACGTTATTTCTTGGTGCTCTTCCTCTTCCTCATCCTCTTTCCCTTTGGCTTCCTCATCCTTGCCTGAGTCTACTAACTCCTGTAGATCCTCCTCGGTCAGCTCAGTGTTGTGCTCTTCAATTAGCTCCTTAATCTCGTCCTCTGCCATGTCCCGGAAGCCTTCAGCAGCCACTTTCCTTGACAGTGCCAGGGTCTTTCTGAATATTTTCATTAAAATCCATCAAAATCATTTTCCTTGTCATCGTCTTAAGCACCAAACAGCTCCTCCCAGTCTTCTCCTTGAACAGGGCTAGAGGGTACGTGTTTTTCGAATCGTTTTCAATTAAAAAAATGTTACAGCACATGTATATTTTACCTAAACTGTGCCTGAATGAATATATTCTCAGAAATAAATAGTAGTTTTGCTGAAACGTGATGTATTTCAATGTAAAATAGGATAAAATACATGACGAAAACAAGAGACTTTACCTAACCTTCCAATGTTCAAGATATGTTACTCGTTTTTTTAGTAGTTTTCGGTTAAAATACTCTTATATTAGTGATATTCTATTCATATTGTGCTTGATATAATACATTCACGGAAATGTAATATTTTTGCAACTACAATGCTGATGTCAACACAAGCGTGGTTACAGCGAGACTGACTGAGTGAGGGAGAGCTATGCGTGTGTGTGTGTGTGTGTGAGGTTGCGGGAGCGGGCGGTGTCCCGTGTTCGGTGTCGCGCGCGAGTTGAATGGCGCGCGATATGAATGTACTTCAATTACTTCAATGTACAGAATATTCCTCCGGCGGGGCAATCCGCATATTTGCAAATCTGTGAATGCTAAACCCGCGTATGTGAAGGGCCGACTGTAGCTGTATAATGCAATATTATGCAATATTAACCCCTAAATCGGTTAATTCGGACAATCGGCTAAAACGGACACCCTTTCCCCCCTTATTAGTCTGTTTTAATGTGGGTCGACTGTATATCGAGCCTAAAATATGAGTTGAAAAACAACCATAACACCTCACAGCTTGGCCCAGTAACCTGCCTGCTGACTGCTGTGACAAGTCTAACTTGGCTACAGTGCACCTCAGTTTACCGAGCCGAGTAGGCGGAACAAGCAGTGACTTGGTCAGTGACATCTCTCATGATGTAGATGAGCAGAGACGTGTTTGAGAATTACTCAACCAGGCCGCTCACCCCTCCCCTACCGTCCTCCCCCCTGCCACCACCTCCCTTCTCCAGTGTTTGAATCTGCTATCCAAGTCCATCCGCTCATACTGAATCACATTTATTTACTGTCGTCGCTCTGCTTGGTGCTTGGGAACACATCCCTATTTAAACCCATGTATTATTCCCTCCGTTTTATGAGTTTTTGCTATACGAGCAGACTCCAAGGAACGTAACTACTCGTATCATCGAGATTTTACTGTACAGGTATAGAACACTGCTATCACCAGCCCTAGTCACATGATCCTAGAATTCTACCTTTTTTGGGTGATAAGATATTGATTCCTCTTCTGATTCTTCTTATTTGAGATATCCACACCATTAGCTATATGTTTCTCACTTGAAGGGGATGATAATTTGAAAGACTTGGAAAATGGTTTTCCTTCCCTCAAAAGTCGAAAGGCT